TATAGTGTGTATATATATATATATATATATATTGCATTTCATAGCTCTGCTCTGGAATAAACAAAGATGTGCTCCTGGCTAGAATACCCCACCATACTTTGACTTACAGACAGAGCAGTTTGTTTGACTTTAGTGAGCGAATAATAAACTTAGTGAGGGTAGGGTTGTGCAAAGTTAGCAGAACAAACACAGTTTCTTTTATGTGTAACTCTAGGTGCAAAGGAAGCTTCAGTACTCTTCAGCACAAGTTTGTTGCATTACTGCCTAGTCTGTTTTTGATTACTTAATTCAACATTATTTAAGAGGATTACTATTTCACAGGACGCTGTAAAGAAAACAGAAGAATGTGAGCAAGAAATTGAAAAGTTGAAACAATTCTTAAAGAACCACTTGGTTGAAATATCACATGAAGATCAACCACTGGCTCAGAAGACCCGTTGTCCAGAGGTGAGTTTCATCGTTTTCTCTCTCAGGTCTGTTACTTGTCCTGACTAATACTATTCTGATGCTGCAGAGTGCTGAGAAAAAGCAGTGTGCGTCCCCTCCATGCCACAGTCAAGCTGACAATTGAATGCCACAGCATGACAATGCATACCTAAGTTGACATATGCCAAGAGAATATAAGTTTGCAAGTTGAGTATAAGATACCCATTATTGATTTTGATGTGGGGTTTTAACCTATATAAACTTCTAAAGAAAACTCAGACTGCTCTTTTCATGATACAATATGCAGCACCGTTTGCTTGCCTGTTCTTAGCACCCTGCTAAGTTGCTGGGTGGCAGCTTGGGGTAGTGCATAAGGAGAGAACTGAGTGGATTTCTGATCACTGACTCTGCGATGGTACTTGGTGGTCTTGGATAGATTAGATTCTTTAAAGTCCTTTCCTCAGCCTCACTGCCACAATGTGTTTTCATCAACTGGTAAACGTGTTATGATTTTCTCCTGGCAGTGGGCTGCTTTCTGTAACGGATGAAGTGATTACTTAATGCAAAAATAAGATACGCTTTCAGGACAGCACTGCATAAGTCGGGAAATGACTAATTAAGCGTAATAGCTATTTCTAAAGTGCCTCTGAAATGCTCAGCATTTTGCAGTCAGTCACAATAAAGTTAATACACATACAGAACTGGGTTTTTAGCTAAACCCAGGACAACACCATACTTGCCTAATAACTATAATCACTTGGTAGGCTCCTAAGTACACAGCTGCTCTGCTTTTAGGTGTTTGGATGTTGGAGGTTTGATGCTGGTACTAAACATGACTCATTTCCTGATTCTTCCTTGTTTTTGTCATTGAGTGTTGGACTTTCTGTTTAATAGGTTTTGTTTCAGAAAAAAAAGCTGTTTACAGTTGTAACATGTCATGAATAGAAGCAGGCAATGGAATTGCCCATCTTATCAAAGGGCTTCAGATGAAGAAGTAATATTAATCATAGAATGGCTGGGTTGGAAAGCACCTTAAAGATCGTATAGTTCAGATTTGGGGTTTGAGGAGGTTTTTGGCCAGTTAAGTTTGCAAAGCAGTAGCTGGTAAATGTATGCTGTGAAGTTTCCTCCTGCAGTGAAACAAATAGAAATACTATTTTTAGTGGACTTCTATGAAAATAAGCTAAATTATCTGGGATGGCTCTTTCTTAATTCCAATGACTTTTTCTTTCCTGTACCTTTGGAAGATTTAATCTTGTGGGTTTCAGTGTACAAAAGGAAAAAAAATCCTCATCTGTGCAGAGTTCCCATGTCGTTTGAAAATTTGCTGGAGTTCCTGCCTCTGCCTTCCCCGTCATGCAGTCACACTAGTGTGACTAACAGAAGAAGCTGTAGTCGAGGCAGAGCCAGCAATCTTACTGTTTTCATCTGTCACAGATTTTTACTTGCATAGTATTATTCACACCATGATACTGGAATTATTTCAAGCTTGCTCGGATGGACTGAGCCCAGTATGCAATGGGGTATTTAGCCACATTTCAGTTTTCTGAGCAAGCAACAGTGCTTCAAAGAGCTTTAGCACTTTCGGTAATGAAGGGAGTGGGGCATTTTATTATCCTTGCTCTATCTTACTCTGTTATTTGTTATGCTTTCTTTGCTCACCTGGTGACAGGGTGGTAAGGAAAGGCCCTAGCAGCACACCCTAAGGGAAGAACACTGGCTAGAGCAATAGTCACAGCCAGAGAGGAGACCACGACAGATTTATTTTCCCCTTTGTTAGTGCAGAGTTATTTGGGTTATTGTTTAACCCAACAAAGAATTAAATGTTTTCCTTGAATTTTGTTGGGGATCATTGCTCCCAATATCACATTCAAATACATGGTATAGTTTTGTTACTAAAACCCACCTAATGGTTTGTGTTTCCTTCTTGGGCTGGCATCAGCAAAGAAGACTCAGCCCTGGGCTACCCTTATTGCTGTCTTTGCCGTCATTGAGGCTATCCCAAGTATTTTGTGTCAGGTTTCTAGAGAAGGCACTTGGAAGTAGCATCACCTGTTCTGACACACCGAGTAATGTTACCCAGCTGCATTCCCTCTGTCCTGAAGGAAATTAATATTCCTATGACTATGCAAGACCTACTCAGAATTAATTATCCAGCCTTTCACACTTCCTTCCAGACTACTAAGCTCTGCGTTACAGGCAGCAAGTGCTGTCTTGAGCTGAGTCTGTTGCTGCTGTTTTGCATGGATCTGGACATCTCCTGAAGTGACAATGGGGAACTGTCCCAATGCCCTCAAAAAGGAAAAAGGGGAAACAGCCCCAGTCCCAGTAAGATGCATCACTGATAAAATGTTTCATTACTGTTCGGTTAAGTAAGAAAAATGGATGCTTACAGATGTTCTTTCTCCTTAGGGAGAAATGGAAGCTGTAAAAGAAGAAATCATAAAACTGTGCCAAAGAAAAGAAGATATCCTTACTGGGATGAAGAATTCAATGTCTGAGCTTCACCAGCACTTACAGCAAGAAGTGCCTGAATCAGGAGATGAGTCCACAGCCTCTGTATTAACACAGAGTAACTTGATTGGGACTGATGTTTCTGGTCAGCAGGTAAGTGGAGCACCACATTGTGATCACTTACCCAAGAGCTGAAGAGAGAATGTAAATAATCCTTCTTCCTCCAGGAGGAGTGGCATGTGAGAGAGGAGCACCCCTGCAGCTGTGTTTCTGTTCTACTTCTCCCCTTTGAGCTTCTGAATGATCCCAGGAGAGAGTATGATGCATGTCTAGGAGAAGGCAGGAGGGAGGTGTGCCTCTGGTTATTTTTTAGCGTGAGCAGATCCAGCGTGAAATTTGCGTCAAGCAGTCAACAGCAAAATGCTTGATGTGTAGATTTTTTCGTTAACCAGTTGTTCTGGGATTTTTGGTAAACTGTTTTCATGGAGAAAAATGAAGTATGTCCCAATTATAGCTGTGATGTTGAAACATTACAGCATAAAGTCCAAATTTTCAGAGGTCCTTTGTACCTGCAGCTTTCAATTACTTAAATGTAGGGTGACAGATGTTCTGTGCTCCTCCAAAAGTGGACCGCAAGTGCTAACTTTCTTTTGCTTTACAGGCGGAGGAAAAGAGACTTTTCGTGTTCTTGTCATGAATAATTGGGCTGTCTCTTTGTGTGTATTTTTGTAGTTGAAAAAGAGAGGAATGATGTCTCTTCTACCTTCCTTAGATGAAGAATTAGAAGACTGTTCTTTGCACAGCAAAGTGAGTTCAGTATATATCTTACATGTACAGCTGTATATGTAAGACACAAATCTTGGTACAGGACAAATTATGAAATGTGTAACTCTGAAATACTTCAAAACAAATTGAAATATCTGTTACCACTCCAGGGTATTAAGAAATTGCACTCAAGCCAGCCTATCAGTATTACACACCACTTCATTCTGTGATGTGTGATCCTGCTTTTGGTGTGATTGCTCACCTAGTAATACCTCCTTTAGGAAAGTAGTAGTAGCAGAATACAGGCCTAAATACCAGTGTTTGTATGGGGAGTGGGGTTCAAACAGAATTAGTTTTTTTAAAGCTTAAAAGAAATAGCCAAAAATTATTTGTATGTTTGAGCCTAAGGAAAAAAGGGCATGAGCAGATTATTGGGAATGAAGTTAAGATAGGAGAGATTTCTCAGAGAACAGGAAAAACTGGGAGACACTGCTCAACAGGTTACTCTGGATCTGGGGATGTCTGAATGCCCAGGTGAACTGCAGAGGAACAAAGCTGGCAGTAAGGTTTCATGATAAAGTTACTAGCTTTTGGAAAAAAAAAATCCATGAAACTTTCTGCACACTTTCCTGCACCCTAGGGATTAAATGAGATGTATTCGAATAAAATGAAGAATGTGCAGAAGTGCTGGTGCACTTGCAGGCCAGCTGCCCTCTCGCACAGCAGCTCACAGACTGCCCAGGCGGGGAGACCAGCTACTGTCATCTGCATCTCCTGGGACGGGCTGTGGCCTCAGCCAAGTTTTAGGAAATCTCCATGTCTCCAAAGTCTTTACTGTGGATATTGATTAGCCGTTTTGCTACATCCTTGTAACAAGAGCCAAAAGGAAATGTGGCAGAGAGGTGATCGAGTATTGGAGGGCTTGCTTTAGGCTAGGCAAGAATGAAACTCCATGACTACACAGTGTAAAGAAGTCCATAGAGCTTGGATAGAGGTTGTGTATGCAGTTTCAAGGTTTCTGATTCTGCACCTTCATTGGTGCAGTTTTCTTTACAAACAGAAGTTTTGCGGGACAGGAGAAAGATTTTCTTGTTGTTTTTTTTTTTTTTAAATAGTGTGAAAAATATGAGGATACTCTGAGGTCTTTAGAGAAAACTGTCAGTGTCATCCAGATGCCATTCATCTTGGCAGCAGAGCTATAGAACAAGGGAAGAGGTGTAATATTAGAAACACAATAAAACCAAATAAACAGTGCAGAAGTAGAGCAAACTGTTACTCAAGGTTTTCAGGAATTTACATTGCGTGAAGGAATATCTGAACTCCTTGTTCACAAACTAATGCTGAGCTGTTACTGCTTTCAAAGGGGAGTACGGCTGCAGAGAGGGATGGGAGCTTTTGGCCTTTGGAAAGAGATGATGAAAAGCGCAAGGAAGGCAGTGCAACCTCCTGGTCTTCCGGTACTTTGTCAGATGGCATTGTTCAGGTAACGCACTCAGGTTTATGTCCACAGGGATGGGAATTCATATTTGGGGAAGAGATGTGCACGAGTCTTAGGTATTTCTGAAGTCTGCAAAGCAAGAGAACTGCAGAAATGCAGGACATGATGGCCTTATTCAGATCCTCCATCTTTCATATCACACTAAATCTCTTTTCCTGTTGCATAAATAGGTTGGACTCAATGACCTTAAGGGTCTTTTCCAACCTAAATGATTCTGTGATTATATATTAATTTCTTCTAGGCTGACCAAAACTCCAAAGGTAGAAATGCACATTTGGCAGCAGCAATTTGCTTCACTAAATCCTGGAAAGGCTGTAAAATACGCATTTTTTGTGGGGATGATTTGTGGAAGAAGTTCTCTCTGTACATCAGAAAATCCACATCTAAGACACCCAATTGACTACGATTTTGGTGGCATTCTGCTCTGTTCTTTATGATGTCTCGATAGTGAGATAGCTGCAACTATTTGTTTCCATATACCAATGTCACAGGCATAAGAGAACTTCTCTCTGTGAATACTTTTGGACCAGGACTACTACAGGCTGAGTGGCTGCGGCTCTTTGAGATGTCTCTAGCGCAACAAAGCCAATGTGATGGTGTTGAGTCATAGGCTGGATTTGATGATCTCAGAGGTCTTTTCCAGCCTCAACAATTCTGTGATTCTGTAATAATCATAGAATCATTTAGGTTGGAAAAGGTCTTTAAGATCAAGTGCAACCGTAAACCTAATGCTACCAAGTCTACCGCTAAACTATGCCCCGAAGTGCCACATCTACACTACTACACTGATAATGATACAAATGCTTCCTCTGTTGCCTCTCTCTCTGCAGGATGCTGATGAGATAATGGGATCACACAGTACACAGGGTGAGGAGTCTGTGCAAACTTTGCAGAGCGCTGAAGAACCTGGCACAGGTGATAGCAGACAGGCTATGGTGAGTTTGAAGTAGGCTGAATATGTCTGAGCTTGTTATATAACCTAGGTGGTGGGCAGAGGCCCTGTTTCATTATGGTTATGCTACTATGGTTATGGAGTTTGTTGCAGTATTCATGACATGGTAGGATACCTACAGCCCTCCTTGGGCCTCCTCATATTCCTGCTTTGGGTAATAATAAATACATTTTGGTTTGCTTCTTGAAGATGCAGTTTACTAGGAGTAAAATGAAGTATTTTCAGGAAGTAAGATGCTGGCATGCATACAGGCACGAATGGAGGGATTCAAGTGTTTACATCAACTCTGGGATTTTTAAGTGGCAATTAAAGGAGAGATTAAGGAAGTTGACACTTCTGTATGTTGCTGCTTTGTAGAAGGCATACACAGGCTGAGGGAGGAGTGGGCAGCAGCCTGTAGATTATATACACAAGAGTGCATGGAGATAGACATAAATGCTCTCAGAAGGTAAGGAACAGCAGACTGGTAGCAGAGCAGCTTTAGCTCTTCCTGGGTTTAGGGTGTGGAAGAAGACAGAATCCATTGTTGCCTAGGGCAGAAGCAAGCCCCCAGGTTACTTTGTCTCCCATTCCCCCCGACTTCTTCCATCATGCCTAACCTTTAATTTATAGTTAAAAAAACCCATAGCAAACTATTAAAACCCAGCCAGCAGCACATTTTATTCTGTATTAGTATCATAACAAATAGCCTTGTGTGAATATGTTCCGTGTAATTGTATGCAGGACCTCTGTGTTTTTTCTCTTTGCTGTGCTGGGATGCTCTTGGTCTCTGCATGTGCAGGATGTGTCTAAGGTCCCTTGGCAGCCATGGGAGATGTAGTCACTGCAGGTATTTTTGGTTCAGCTAGGCTCGACTACTCCTCTGTCTTAGGCTGATCTGAACCCCTGGCTACACTGAGGAAATCGCCATTGAGGATAATGGGAGCTTAGACACCTCTATGCAAGAGACTTAGCCCCCAGCTGAACATCCGGGGTTTCCAGGAGCCTTACAAGGCAACACACACCCACCTGGTACCTCTGTGTGTCACCACTGTGTTTTGTCAGCATCTTGCCATCAGGAGCACCCACAGCCTGTTGGACCCAGTGATACAGAAGTTCAGTGGGGCAGTTTCTTGAGCCGGACACAGCGGGTCTGTGGAGAGCGCGCTGTCAGGCTGTGACCAGCGTTCTTCTCTGCTCAAGTAGACAAATTTCTTAGAGGAGGTCTTCTTTCCTCAAACCATGCCAGACAGCTTTTTTGCTTGCAACATCTTTTCCACTTCAGTGTTTTGCTACATTTGACATTTCCACATGCTACGCAACTTACTGTAGGGAGTGATATTTTAAAATTTTTTTTTAAAAAATAGATAGTAATTATTTATTTACTATATAGAGGCAGAAAGATACTTGTTTTTTATAAATGGCGAATCTATTTGCTTTCCCTAGAGAAGTGTGTATGTGTGAGATTTATGAAGTCAATTATATTTATTGTCTCCATTTAAGACCTTAACTGCATACTGAAATGAACTAATTCCTGCTATCTTAGCGATTGTTAAATGATACCATTTTCTCCCTACAGAATGTTGTCCCTCCCATGCAAATATACCTGCTTTCAAATTCAGTTATAGCAGCCTAAACCACAATTTAGGATCCAGAAAAACATTTCAGTTACTGGATAAGGAAGAAAAGACATGATATAATTGTAGGTGACTCCCTTCTGAGGGGAACAGAGGATCCAAGATGCTGGACAGACCTTTCTTTTAGGGAAGGCTGCTGCCTCCCTAGGGCTGGGTTAAGGACATCACTGGGAAGCTTCACAGCCTGATACAGCCCTTGGACTATTACCCATTATTGCTCTTCCATATGGGTGATGATGAAGCCATAAAATATAGTCAAAGGGCAGCCACAAGAGATTTCAGGGCCTTGGGACAGTGGATGAGGGAGTCTGGAGCACAGGTTAGTTTTTCCTCTTTCCTTCCAGTTGCAGGCAGTGACATTGGAAGAAACAGATGGATCCATTTTTTAAATACCTGGCTCTGTGGCTGATGTCACCACCACAATTTTGGCGTTTTTTTCAGTAATAGAGTGGCCTACATGGCATCAAGCCTGCTGTCTCAAAGGAGGAAGAGGGTCTACTCATGAGCCAGCAGGACTCATTTACAGAGCTTTAAACTAGATGTGTAGGAGAAGATCTGGGGTGACATGCCAGGGTTTGGGGGGTGGGGTGCTAGGGAGTGCCCTCAGCCTGTTGCTCTGAGACATCTTAGATACACTGGAGCACATCTGAAGTCTTATGCAGATGGGTCAGGGGCTTCCGAGGTAATAGAAGCTAACAGGGAAACAACAGTCAAATACCTCAAATGAGAGAAAGGCTTTTACAGGCACATCAGTCAGAGAAGGAAAATCAAAGGAAACATATCCCCCTGATGACCACAACTGGCGAAATGGTAACAGAGAATGAGGAGAAGGCTGAGGTACTTGAACAATTCTTTTTGTCTTGGTCTTCACTAGCAACCACTTCCCACACCTCTGAAATGGACCATACCAAAGTCTGAGACATGTTGAGGTGCATCCCAGAGTCCTGAGGGAAGTGGCTGATGTAGTTGCCAAGTCACTCTCCATGATACTTGAAAAGTCATGGACTCTCTATGATATTTGAAAAGTCATGGCAGTCAGGTGAAGTCCCTGGTGACTGGAAAAGGGGAAATATTGGACCCATTTTTTCTAAAGTGGAAAGGAGGAGGACCCTGGAAACTACCAACCTGTCAGCCTCACCTCTGTGCCTGAGAAGATCATGGATCAGATCCTCCTAGAAGCTATGCTATGGCACATGGAGGATGGGAGTTGATTCATGACAGCCAGCATGGCTTTACCAAGAGCAAGTCTTGCCTGACCAAGCTGGTGTCCTCCTGTGATGGAGTGACTACATCAGTGGGCAAGAGAAGAGCTACAGATACCATGTGTCTGGATTTCTGTAAGGCTTTTGACATGGTCTCCCACAACATCCTTCTCTCTAAATTGGAGACATACGGATTTGATGGATGGACTGTTTGGTGGATAAAGAACTGGCTGGATGCTCGCACCCAGAGAGTAGTGGTTAATGGCTCAATGACCAGATGGAGATCAGTGATGAGTGGTGTCCATAAGGAGTCAATATTGGGACCAGTGCTGTTTAATATCTTCATCAATGACACAGGAGAATCAAGTGCACTCTCAACAAGTTTGCAGATGACACTAAGCTGAGTGGTGCAGTGGACGCATCAGAGGGACAGGATGCCAGCCAGAGGGACCTGGACAAGCTCGAGAAGTGGGCCCATGTGAACCTCATGAATGAGTTCAACAAGGGCCAAGTGCAAGGTCCTGCACCTGGGTCAGGGCAACCCCCAGTATCGACACAGGCTGAGGGGTGAAGGGATTGAGAGCAGCCCTGTTCAGAAGGACTTGGGGATACTGGTAGATGAAAATCTAGACATGAGCCAACAGTGTGCACTTGCAATTAAACAGCCAACTGTATCCTGGGCTGCAGCCAAAGCAGCACGGCCAGCAGGTCAAGGGAGGTGATTCTGTCCCTCTGCTCTGCTCTGGTGAGACCCCACCTGGATCAGTGTCCAGCTCTGGAGTCCTCAGCACAAAACAGACGTTAATGTATTGGAGCAGGTCCAGAGGAGGGCCATGAAGATGATTAAAGGGCTGGAACACCTCTCCTATGAGGACAGGCTGAGAGAGTTGGGGCTGTTCAGCCTGGACAAGAGAAGGCTCCAGAGAGAACTTATTTCCTTTCAATACTTGAAAGGGACTTATAAGAAAGATGAGGACAGACTTTTTAGCAGGGCCTGTTGCAATAGGACAAGGGGTAATAGTTTTAAACTAAAAGAGGTTAGATTTAGACTGGGTATAGGGAAGTCATTTTTTACAATGAGTGTGGTGAAACACTAAAACAGGTTGCCAGAGAGGTGGTAGATGCCCCATCCCTGGAAACATTCAAGGTCAGGTTGGATGGAGCTCTGAGCAGCCTGGTCTAGTTGAAGATGTCCCTGCTCACCACAAGGAGGTTTGGACTAGATGACTATTCAAGGTCAATTCCACCCCAAACCATTCTGTGATTCTACTGTTTGCGAGTTGATTGTCCACTCCATTGTGCCTCCACGGTCTCGGTCTTGACACAGGAATGCATCACGTGTGCATGAACACCTGTGCAAATTATATTGGTTTACTTTATTCAGCTAATTTGACTATATATCTGAGTTTCTGTTTCTGCAGAGGAAGAGGATAAAGTTTACTACAGTAACAGTGTCTATCTGGGGAGAGGCAGAGCTTGCTATAAGTGTAAATGCTTATGTACATATGCATGTGTGACAGAAGGAGGTCATGCAGAGTGTTGTACACGTGTAATGTTTTGTTATTTAAATGACTGAACTAGAACAAGCCCACTTAGATCTAGAGCTGGCAATTTCAGGTGGAGGTTGAAATAAAGCTGTACTTTCATATTTCCTCAGTCATATAGACCTCGATAGACATATCTGGACTGTTCTAGGATCTGTACATTTGGATTTGTTTTCTATAATGGCACCATCCTGTGCTAGAACAGTAGTGATTAAAGCAGGGCACTGATAGCTGAAACAATGCATTTTTGCTCTCTGATTTTCTGCCAAAGCTTATTTTAACACGGAGCTTGCACACTACCACAAATCAAGTCAGTTGTCTGAATGTGTGCTCTAGAGCCTCAGGAGCGTACAGGTGGTTTTGTTCTTGTGGTGGTGTGCTTGATTTACTTACTAAGTACCAGTGTTTGCACGTGTGGAGGTATATACAGACCTGTGCAGCCTTCCAAGCAACTGTTGATATCTCCAAGCACTTTAGACTTTTCCTTATCACAGAATTGCGTCTTAAAGGAGGGCAAATAAGAATTACGTAAGACGTGCTTAAACACACACTGTTTGGTTTTGCGTGACCTAGAGCCCGAATAAAGCACGTTTGACTGTTGGAACCGAACGAACGCAAGTAGCTTGTAAGCGTTGCCCCAAGAGCTTGCTTTGCAGCTTTAAGCCGCGCGTTGCTTTTACATCCGACTCCCACAGAGAAACATCTCTCCTCGGGGGAGAACTGGTTAAGGGTGAGTCACCCCACTGCCTGCGCCCAGGTAAACCTGCGCTAATGCAAATCGCTGCCTGGAAACCTGTTACACCAGATCCCCTCCATCGCCTGGCTGCCGAGTTTCTCTTTCTTTTTTCTTTTTTCCTTCTTTTTTTTTTTTTTTTTTAAAATCTGAGAGTGGTTTCAGAGCTCTGTGAGCCTGCAAGTTAAACATTTCCCACTGGTATGGGGAGGGGAAAGAAAGAAAAATAAATAAGAGAAAACCAGATAGATAACCACGTTTCTTTCATGTGCTTTGCTTCAGGGTGACAAGCCGCCTCCTGTCCCCAACTCTGCCCGTGACTCTCGAGGGAAAGTGGGAGGTTCAGAGGAAGCTCTGGATGGCGGCAGGCCCGAGCCGGAAACGATCCTCCAGGTCTGCCAGGCTCAGGTTGCCGAGCTGGAACAATGGCTAAACAAAACTAAAGTGTCCCTGAGGTCAGACCCCCAGAGCCCCAAAATGCAGCAGATGGTGGAGCTGGAGCTTGCTGATTGCCAGGTAAGACAGAGCAGTCGGTTTGCTGCTGCCATCCAGACAAGTTGCTTTCCCTGGGGTGTGTGTCTGCAGAAGAGCCGTGCTTACTGCTTCTCACCTGGCTTAATCAGCGTCGTTACACTGTGCAGAAAACAGGTAACCGTAACCGCTTGGCTTCAGTTTCAGGTGCAGCGTTCCAAGGGCTTAGTTCAAAAACCTATTTTTAGAGTTGGGGTCTTTATGCATCCAGGCAGCTTAGGTAGAATCCTCGAGTATTTTTAAAGCTTTTTTTCCTTCAGATTGTTTTCAAAGACATAGCTCAGTTTAGGTTGAATCTTCTATTAAATGGCAATTTTTTGTTGGTCTTAGTCATGATAAATCAGCTGGGAAAAAAGGCATCTTTCTCTTCTTTTGACATTTTCGCTTTCTATTCTTGTCAGAGTGATTCAAAAGACTGGTATAAGATTGCTTCCAAACTGGTAAATTCTTCTTTTACGCTTTTTTTCAAAAAATTGCCAGCATAGGTGCAAAGACAGGGGCTTTTGCCTTGCCCTCTGTAAGCAGTGGCAATATTTGGACCTACTGCTGTACTGCTAGGGCAACCGCTCGCCCTGGGGCCAGCGGAAGGAAAGTAGTGGGTGGTACCCGTTGGTGAAAATGGATTGAGGGAAACAGGACTGGCATGAGGGGCTGGGGTGGGTGGGAGTCCTGGCAAGTAGCTTTTTAACTGGCGTGCTGATTAAAAGAAAATGTGCAGGCATGCCACTTGGAAGTTCCCTGTGGTGCCAGTCTGGTGTACCAGTGCTTCAAGCACTGAGTCTACCTAAAGCAACAAATTTCACTTATCCTGAAGGAGCCAATACCAGAATGTTCCCATTTTAAATTATTAGGAGACATTTTCGTCTGTTTTGTTGGTGGAGGTGGGTGGGGTTTTTTCAGTAGGAAGTGAGTCCAAGCCAAGAAGTGCCTCTGGGTTTAGGATGTGCATCAGCCAAGTGCTCAGGTGCTGAACTCTGTGGGAATTAGGATTCTGAATGCCCCCAAGTAGCTGGCTGGGTCTGGATCCCATTCAGGGTTCATGTCAGCATAGGCTTCCACAGGTGAAAACAAGCAGGCTTCAGGTAGTGGTAAGCGCTGCTGAAATCCTGTGGGCTTTTAACAGTTTGACTCAATGTTAAAAATGTGAATTTGTTGGAGGTGGAAGTTTTTCAAACTTAGTCGATTCTATATAGAAAAACGCGCATAGCACAAAGCAGAAACAGTCTCTGCGTACGGATGTATGACGTAAAGCAGTTCATTTATTGCAGTTGGTTACTTTGCGGTTGAGTCATGTTACCTGTCCGCACACTCACCTGAAAAATGTAATGCAGATGTGCCCTCTGATTCACAGTAGGTTGAATCAAGAACTAGATCCCAACAGTTTACAATGGCCTGGCTGACAGATGGTAATGTTACTGTGTTTTGGTAATTCAGCATCATTCCTCCCAAAGGATGATGTGATCAGTCCACGTGCTGCCTCCTTCTCCCCCACTGGGGTGTGTTGTCGTCTTGGTTGAATCCAAGTGAAGTCTATCATTTGTACGCTCCTCTTTTATTACTCCATATATGAGTTAATATAACTTCCCGCAGAGGCTGTTGTTTGAAACTGTTTTAAGACTGACTCTGTATAAAATTTATTTAATTATTCAGAATAAAAAGAGATTCTACTGGAGAAAATCTAGGGGGTTTGTAACTATTTCTCTTTTTGCCTGTATGTTTCTACTCTTTTCAGACACAGGAAGTGTGAGCATTGACTTTAGAAAGTTATCAGGAAAGGAGCATTGTACTTATAAGAATGAATAATTGACTGCTGTCTCTTCTAGGTGAGGTTATCAGAGATTGAACAAAAGGTCCTTTCTTTGCTGGAAGATTGTGGAGATAGTGCAGACTGCCAACGAGAGACAGAAGCTCTTTCCTCGAAGCTGAAGGAAGTAAAGTGCAATTTGGAAAAAGCCCAGATAATGCTTCAAGACAAATACAATGAAGAGCAGGTAAGGCATATGAATGGTATGCAGAGCAAGAGTGAGAGTCGTGGTGCTTTAATGTGCTGTAGTTGCAGAAGAACAGTTGGAGCTCACCATGTGAAGCAAGGAAGGGAGAAAAATCAATTGGAAATGTCAGACTTGCTGTTTTTCTACTTTACAGTGCTATATAATTATTTGTAGTTTGCAGCAAGTAGTGGACTTTTAATGAGTCTCTGAACAACATCTTTTCTGCTTTAAGTGCTCAGTGACAGAGACCAAGATTTTTGAAGGAGTACAGGAAAACAATACCAAGTTTTTTTGCTTTGGTTTGTTTTTTTTAAATGCTTTTAAAATGCTATGGTGTTTGTCTCTGACAGTATCCCAGCAAAGATGCCTTTAAGCAGTAACCTTCTCTTTGAAAAATGCATAAATGGCAAGGGCAGTGACTTTGCCAGCTCTCCTGTGTTCTCCTGCACAGCCTTTGCTGAATTTCCCAATGGGTGAGACAGTAACTCCCAGCTTCAGAGCTAATTGCTGCTCTGTTGTGCAAGGGGCCAGAAGAGCCCACCTGATGTGTTTGTGTAAGAGCAGCCACAGTTTCTCCAGTGCTGGAGGAGCATAGTCTAAATGCTTTTTGACATTGCATGACCCAGGACAAAGTTAGCACTTGTGAAGTCTCCTGTTGAAATACCTCTGAGCACAGACAGAAAATCCAGATGCATGAGCAAATTTATAAGCATAGAATCATACAATTGTTTAGGTTGGAAGACACCTTTAAGATCATAAATTGCACATCCCTATAATTTGATCAAACAATAAGAATGGAAGGTTAGTAACAGTTAATCTCCTAAGAGGAAATCAAAGCAAGCCTTGTAATTGTCAGAGAGAGAAATGCAGGAACTTCAGCAGCAGGTTAGAATGGATTGAACTTTTGTTAAATGGAACAGGACAGAAATCTTTGCAAGAGTAGCAGGTGTGTTTCGTGCACTGCTGATTTGATGTATGGTAGGTCCGAGACAACTCTGCTTTTTCCATGTGCCCAAACTGCACCTGTGGTTTCTGCCCTTTTGCCAAGTCTGGAAGCCTTCCTACAATGGGTCTCTCTTTACAGATTCACAACAGGGAGAGGATCAACCCACAGCCCCTTGAGATCCTACACTCAAATGGCTCCAGCACGCCCCATCTTGCCCTTGCTGAACAGCCACTCGTTTGGCACGATGGTTTCCAGCATCCACAGGTAATTCTCCTACCATTCAGGAGCCAGGCTGCCCCACGTCCCCTGTGAGTTTGGGGGACATCTACATTTATTACCTGCTGCAGTTTTCACTCTTGGGATCAAGTCTGTTCATGGTAAGTTTCAGCCACCCCTCTCCTCCAACATCAGGGGAGTTTATCAGGATGGAGAATGGCCTCACCCCTAAATTCCCATTTCAAAAAGGTTTAGTAGTACTAAAAAGCTGGATGGTGTCCTGACACTTGCTTGTAGGATTATGATTCTGTTGGCATCACCCACCTCTCCCAATCTGCTGTCTCTGAAGCACCGATGAATTATGAAATCTTAGTCTATGGACTGACATTGCTTTCGAAGATGGATTTGAAGCTAAAGCTTAGTGAAAGTTTTCCCATGGGCTAGCTCACAATGACTTTAAGGTTGTTGTTAACACAATAAAAAAGTCCTGTGATATTCTGTGCTCTGTAGACTACTCCTGTTTTGCTAACTGAAAATTAGCTCTTGCCCTCTTGATCCTCTTAAGAAAGAGTTCGAGAAAATGATCCAGCTTGAGCTGCTAAAATTGCTCGCTTTCACTCAACACTCTGTTTTTAACTAATGGAACTCAGCTTCATATTCTCTATTTTCCCTTGCATTTTTCTCTATATAAGCATGACAGTTAACAGCCTTTAAATTTCCATATGTGCGCAATTTGTTTCTGACTGATGGAGTTTTTTTTAAAAAATGTAGCTCAGGCAGAAATATGTTCCGTAAAAATACACATTTTCAGAAAATGTGGGTTTCTATAAACTCATTTTTACGTAAACTGCATTTTGCTCTGACCAGTGTATTCTTATTTTCTTTGCTAAATAAATTCTTGTAAAATGTGATTGGAAAAGCGGAATCATCATTTCAGATTAATACAGCACACACAACTGATTTTACTGTTCATGCTATTCTCTGTGCACAGGATCCAAAAGTAAAAGCAACTGAGCAGAAAAGCCTCATTGACTTCATTGAGTCGTGCGTGGAAAAAATGCAGCCACAGTTGGAGGACAGTGTGACTCAGAAATTAGAATCAAGGTACAAAATAACAATCAGTTGCCAGACTGAGTGACGTAAAACTGCTTAAACCTTTAAACCTGAAACTTTGTGGTGGCGCCATTGATTCTGTGCAGGGATGTGTGCCTTTAGAAAAAATGACAGGAACTGGGAGATTTCTGCCATTAACAGTCTAGAAAAATGGGAGTCCTGTTTATGTGACAGCCTCTTCAATATTGAGCTGACTCCAGTGTTTAGAGTCAGTCATGATACCAGGCAGGACTGACAGCTGCCATAAATCAAAGCAAGCCCATCCAGAGGCAAGCTGAGTGTCTGTGTTCACAGCCATTGCTGTACAAATGCAAGGACATTTCCAGCCAGCTTTAAAGGGAGCATCTTTGAAAAGGGGGTATTGGGCTCATGCACCTTCTAGGATGGAACCAAGATGTGCGACAGGACTAGGCTCCCCATATTGTCCTTTCAGAGAGGGAGGCTGCCAACAGGTCTCTAGAGTGTTTCACAGGAAGGGAAAAGCCCAAAGAAACGTATCAAAGTCTGGATTAAAGGTCATCCATACACTTGGCTTCACTCCGGTT